GCAATATCTATGTTTATTGCTGACTAGAAACCCCTTATGGACTTTTTGTGTGAAACAGAAAAACTTATGGTTTTGATGAATAGATAGGATTGATTATAGAAAGAAGACAGTTATGTTGTAACCATAGAGTAAGAGGTAAATTTATAATTGTACTTATAGCCGCTGTAAAGAAGATTGGAAGCCACTTCTTTATATCTTTTTTTTCCTATTTTCCTATTACTTTTTTTCCTTTCTTGCACTTTTACTTTCTCTTTGATTTCTTTTTTCTTTTCTTTTTCTTATTTTATATTAATTTGTATTATTTTTATCTTCCTTTTTTAAAAAAAATAATAAAATTATATAAAAAAATATAAATAAAAAGCCATACATATATGTGTAGACTTTATGGAAAATGGTGCCTGCTTGTATCCTCATTTTTGGGTTGTACATTACATTTTTCTCCTACACTTGGCAGATTTTTCTTTCTTTCTCAGTTTTGATTGTCCTTTATACCTAGTTCTGCCTGTCTTGGTATCTCTTGATCATTCTTCAGCCATGTGAACTAAAATCTATTTTTTCAGAAACCTCAGTGTGAAACTTTATCTTGGGTGAGGTTAGAGCTCAAACAGACCATATCTTCTTATCGTCTTTAGCCTCCTCCCTTGAAAAATATTGTATATTTGCCAGGATTAGAAACCAGTGACATACCCTGCTGTGATTTCTTATGGGCTATTAACAGCGTAGATGTTGCTGGCTAAGTAAACAAACTCAATGGCAATGGGTTTTAAAAAATGCAGCTTCCTTTCCTTGAGGTCTTAGATGATCTCAAAAAGCTAAGCGGGGTTAGGCTTTGTATGGGAGAACATCAGGGTATCCCAGGGATATATTTGTGATGGAGGAGGGGAGAGGTAGAAGCATCTTGAAAGAATGCCTTTCCCTGCCCTTGCTCTTATTTTTTTGGTCCTAGAGAGTTAAAATCAGAACTTCCCAGAATAAGCCTATTCTTTTAACTTATAATAACAAATTGGCATTCCAACTGCCTTCCTACAGATAGTATCTGGAATTGCATTGGTTGTATTTTGATGGATCAGCCAAATGAAACTGATCACAATTTTGTACAGGTTTGGTAGCAGGAACCTGTATATCTTCTGGCCCTCAGCATATGACAGAATTCCTTCCTTCCTTCTTCTAAACAACTTGGAAAACAATAAGAGAGAGAAAAAGAGAGTGATGACATGCTATTACCAACAACAGACAGTATGTGCTTGCTTCTTACTTGTATAATGCATTTGCCTGGAAGGTAAAAAAAGCAAGCATATGCAAAATGTACAGTGGGGCAAAAAAGTATTTAGTCAGCCACCAATTGTGCAAGTTCTCCCACT